ACTGCCTCTACCTGCTGTGCTTGAGCAGTGATGGACTCCTGCAGTCCAAGGGTGTATGTGTTTGCATGTTTAGTCAAATTAACAAACTGTAGATACTGAAAATTAAGCAGTGAACCTGGCAGTGAGTTTTAGGTCTGCAGAAGGTACAGCATTTAGCAAATTTTGTAACAGGAGAGACTAGTTCAAAAGCAGATCAGAGAAGTATTTGTGCTCCTGAAAGAGCTGTAAGAATTTTTCTTACAGGACTTCAATTTGACAGGGAAGGTTTACTTACTACTCCTCAACAGATAAGCAGCTGGGTGTGTGTGTGTGAGATCATTCCACCACAGGATGTCAAGAAACCAGATTCTTCCTCCCCAGCTGTGGTTTCTGGCAAACAGGTTTTATGAATAATTGTAGGTGGGTTTTTGGAAGGAGATGGAGGTGGTGTTTAACCTGCCAGGAAGCTACATTGCTCTCTGAGCAAGACCTCAGCCTCAAGTGATGTAGTGACCTTTTTCAAGACCATGACCCTCTGTTGCATAAACTTCTTAGAGCTGTGACTTCATCTCACCGAGTGATGACAGAGTTTTTTGTGTCTGAGCACTGTGCCTGTGCCTTCTCAATTTAAGAGTTATGTAACTTCTGAAGGGGAATAACGATAAGCAGGAACCTGTGTCATACCTTGAACAGAGCTGGCAACTACTTGCAAAGGGAATGAAATCTCAAGCATTCGTGTGAACAGCTGGAGCCCTGCTTTCCTTACAGGGAGACAACTTTCAAGTATAAACAGAAAATTGTTATGGCTGTTTGACAGATAACCAATTCCATAAACTTACTGGCTTTAATCAGGTAGAGGAAGCATTCCTTAAAAACAAACATTGAAAGGCTATTCAGGATGGCCTGCGTTTATGTGGGACAGTTACCACTATATTAGTGCATCACCAGCAGCTGAATATGGCTGAAGAAACATATTGACACATAATTGGCAATTGTGTCTTCCAGTGAATCATGAACAACACCTTATTTTGGAATTGATGTATTCTAAGAATTCAGGGCAAGACTGTAGGGTGGGGAGCAGCAGAACTCAGATAAATGATAACCGTAGCTGAGAAGAGGCACAGTAAACAGACCTATGAGCACTTTAGACTGAAGTAGATAGAGCAAAATACTCCTACACACACACTGCTTTGCAAACAGATGCTGGTTCACACTGCAATAGATAGTAATTCCTCTACAGGATATTTTAGTGAAAAGGTACTTGAACTTCTTCTATATTAATATCGACTAAATCCTCAACAGTGAATGTGTTGCCATTTAGATATCTGAGATGTTTGCTAGGTGTAGGAGGAGAGAAGGTGGTTGGGGTTTTTTACTCTCTGCTTGGAGCTCCAAAATTTTACAGTATTGTGTCCATTTAATCTGTTCCTTACAACTCAGAACTATGATTCCTTAACGTTTTTATCATGGAGGAAAAATGTACAGGAAACCTTTCAGTCACATGCTGACAGATACAATTAACAGGTACAAGGTGGGACTGCAGTATGTATTTAAAAACATTAAAACTCTTACATACACTATTGCAATGTATATATAACATCAACACTGCAATGTAACATCACTTATAAAGGATCTTTGAAAAGGAGTGGTAGTATTTCAAACTCACGTTCTTACCAGTGCATCATTTAATTTTCTAACAAAGTATGCATTTATTATACTTTACTTCCTTGGGGGAGTTGATTTTCCATATTAAAGAAGCTCCTACCAATCCTTAAGAGGTAGTTTTGGACTAAATCTCATTTGTGTGGTGAGGGCGGAAGAGCCAGAGCTGTTTCTTAGGCGGCTGAGACCTCTAGTGCCCAGTTCCTTCATTGCATGGCTAATTTTTTCTCTCCTATTTTTCCTCCATCAAACAATAATAACAAATTATTATTGATATAGTGGGGACTGTTGAATTGATTGGATAACTCATCCCTTTCAGTTTCTGCCTGTTCACGTTCCTACTGAGGAAGAAAAGAACGATCCCATTCTTTTTGCCTACAGAGTCCGACAAACCATGGCAACGTAAGCACTCATCAGTTAAATCTTTGAGAATTGTTCTTTTAACCAGAAATTCCATATATATCCTAGCCATAAAGTGCAATTTATTCAATTCCCAGGTACTATATGTAGGAATTGCTCTAGAGTTTTCCTAAGAGGTGTCAAATTCCTATACTAGAACAACCTGATTGTTTTTACATGGAGCATAAGGGAGGTTGTCTTACATTAAAACATTATGTTCAATTCATAGAAAACTGGAATAAATTTCTCTGTTTTTGCTTGGCAAGAATGAGTGGGTGGTTTGTTCTCCAAGGTTCCTGGGCTGCATTTACAAGGTTGTAAATCATAAAACATCATGACGCTGCCATAACGTAGTTTCACAGTTACACAAGATGGGATGTATTGCTTTGTCCTACTTGCAGCAGTGCAAGGATGAATTATCATTTGTTTTGCATGTTAGAGAAGGGAAACAGTCAACAAGAAGTAATTTTCATTTAAGAAACTGATTTTTCTTTTTCCTTAATTTTGTTTCAGTGCTTTGAATGTGCCAGTCACTGATCACACTTTTGAAGATTGCAGACTGATGATTTCAGCAGGACAGCTGACTTTACCCATGGAAGCTGGGCTGGTGGAGTTCACCAAAATTAGCAAGAAGCTCAAGTAAGGGACGTTTAGCTGTTGGTAGCTTAATTACTGCAGTGCTGCAGGTGTCAATGGCCATCTATAAAAGGATAAATTACCTGACAACTGACTTGGCCTTGTGTAATATAGTGTATAATATATTTGTATATATATAATTTGTATAATACATTTATGCATACAGCTTAAATTACTGGCAGCATGTGGCAGGAAGTGAAAAAACCTCTCCAGCCTGAGGTTTCAGCCAGTGGTTTACTGTTCTTAGTTGTATTGTGCAGCCACGTGTCCCTTGTGATGTCAGTTTTTTCTGACTGGATACAGTGGGATTTGAGGGCTGAACCAGGTAACCATACAGTAACTCCATCAAACAACCTGGCATGGTGGAGGGCAAATCTGAATTATGTGTGCAGTGAATCTTGACTTATTATTTATGTGCTAAATCATAAATAATGTCAAACTGTTTGGAACAGTTACTTGGTAATACTAATCATCCTTAATGAGGTGCAGTGGTGTATTTTTGCAGAGATCAGATACTTCTGAGGCTGTAGTGATGTTGCTGTTAGGGTAGAGAGTCTGCTAACTGAGGTGAGATCTCCCTCTTAAGGAAATTCTCTAGAGCATGATGCAGCAAAGTAATGCTTCACCTGAGTTTATGATAATGAAAAGCTCTCTGCTAGAGTAGCCCAGTAACTGAACGGATGATTCGAGGTTTGGGAAGTTACTCTAAGGAAGCCTGACATAACCAAGCATAGCACTGCCTGCTTTTAACATTAATAACAGGGGGGATCAGTCCTTAATTGCTGATTTAATATAAAATATCCAGTCTGAAGTACAGCATTGGAAATGCTGTGCACACATGCTCTGTCTGGCAGTTTTTTGTCTTTGAACACTGTAATCAGTCCTACTGAAATTCCTTCTGTCCAAGAACTGCTGTATAGAAATATCTCCTCTCCCTCATGTTTACATAGCCTAAAATGGAATCATGTCAGAGAGCAGCTGGATACTTTTGCTGCTATTGCAAGTGCTTCCAAAGGGGGAAGAATTGGAATTGAGGATTTTGCAGACTACTTGAAGCTGCCTATTTCAGATGTCCTCAAAGAGCTGTTTCTACTCTTTGACAGGGTGAGTAGCTGGTTAACTGACTTTTTGACAATATTTTGTTAGAAATCACATCCCAAAAGGATATTTAATTAATTATGTCCAACTTAGTAAATGCTTCTTGGTTAGCAGTTCCTGTAGGCAGGATAGGTGACTCTTAAAGTTTCCTTCATAAGTTCTGATGGAGAAACAGTGATCAGTTTGTATCTTGGGAGATGGCAGCCATCTCTTGGACCAAGTTGCTGCACAGGTATCAGACAACAATCTCCATGCTGGTAATGGCTGAATATTTCTTTGTGCCTAGCCCAGATTTTGAGCTTATGTACTCATGTATGTAGTTATGTACTTATGACAGCTTAATTAACTGATGTACTTTTAAGTAGATAATTTAAGGCAGAGTGAACCTCACTAGAGTGTTAATTAAAATACCAGTGTTCCTGCTGTGAAGGGTGCTGTTAGAGTTTACAGGGACCCCTCTTGCCTAGGGAGTCTGACTCCTGTGGCCTCCTCCAGCCATAACAGGGGCTGTGCATTGATGTGATCATTTAGGCTTTCCCCCATGGTCAGTGCTAATCTCTTCCATTTTCTCCTTCCCTCTGAGGATGGAAAATACTGCTCTGTGGAAGCCCTTCTGACCATACCAGATGCATCAGTGACTAGAGCAGAGCATAGAATTCATCTCCTAGGCACCCAGCATGTGCTGCAGTGCAAGCAGCATCTTGTCCTGCAAGTGCTTATGAACTGGGGGTTTTCTCTTACCGTAGGAGCTTTCCCAACTCAGCCTCACTCTTGCTGATCGAGTTAACTTTAGCAGTACACCCATCCTTGGCAGGTCATTGTGTTGTAAATGCCCATTAAAACAGTTTCAGGATTTTTCAAGATAAAAAGTTTTTACAAGCTCTAAAATAAGGAAGAACTGAATGTATTTCCTGAATTGCTGAGTGCATTAAAGCTCCAGCAGAGCTGGGTCCTCATCCTTTCACCATTCTTGCCTCCTTGTCTTACACCATTGGCGCCTTTGAGCCTGTAGTCGGAGTCCTGAAGCACAGTACATACATCAGAAATGTGGTGTGGCAACCAGAATAAGGGCAAAGAAGCCTCCCTTCATTTTTCTTATCTGGCACAACAGCACCAGTAACTAGAACTAGCAAAGTAATGCTCAATTCACTGAAATGTTGAAGGGATGAGAGACTGCTAGAACAGACAGGTGCAAGGCTGTGTTCATCTTTAAGGAGATCAGCATACCTGAGGATCAGTCACTCAGGTAGCAGGGCTTTTTTTGAATTGCTTCAGGTATGAGCACAGGCATCTTGAGACTTCTGCTCTGTGGATTTCAACCTCATGATTTTTTTCTCTGAAGTGATTCTTCAAATCACATAAAGCTAACCATGCAAAGCAGAAAAGAAGAAATACGGGCGTATCATCACCTGACAGAAACCCGTGAGACCTCACTGGCAGCCAGAGACATGCACAGACCTGGTGAAGTCTGAGCATGCAGATAGGCTGTGCTTTGCCCACGCCCAAGTCAGACGCTGTTTAGCTTCAGAGAGTTACAGAAGCCCTGGATCTCTGACTCCCTTCAGTAAATCTTGACGATGTTCCTTGCTAAAGCTTTGCTGAGCGGAGGAAGTGGCAGTGGTCGTGGAGGGAGCCTTGCACGTGGCCTTGGAGGCCTCCTAACAGGAGGTGGTGGACATGGAGGGAATATTGGAGGACTCGTCGGAGGTCTTGTCAATCTTATAAGTGAAGCAGCAGCTCAGTATAATCCGGAGCCGCCTCCGCCTCCTCGCAATCATTTTACAAATGTGGAAGCTTATGAGAGCGAGGAGATCAGACGGTTTCGTCGCCTTTTTGCCCAGCTGGCTGGAGATGATATGGAAGTGTGTGCCACAGAGCTGAGGGACATCCTGAACAAAGTTGTTTCCAGACATCAAGACTTGAAGACGGATGGCTTCAGCTTGGACACGTGCCGTAGCATGGTAGCCGTCATGGACTGTGACACAAACGGCAAACTGGGCTTTGAAGAGTTTAAGTACCTGTGGAACAACATCAAGAAATGGCAGTGTGTGTACAAGCACTATGACACTGATCAGTCAGGCACTCTTGGGAGAGCTCAGCTGCCAAACGCCTTGAAGGCTGCAGGGTTCCACCTGAAGGCAGAACTCCTCCAGGTCATCGTGCGCAGATACGCCGACGAGGACGGCAGCATGGATTTCAACAACTTCATCAGCTGCTTGGTGCGGCTGGACAGCATGTTCCGCACCTTCAAGTCCCTGGACCAAGATGGAAGTGGGCAGATCAAGGTGACCCTTGAAGACTGGCTGCAGCTGACCATGTATTCCTGAAGGCATAGCGGAGAAGAGCAAGCTTCGTCTGGAAGATACACAGGGAAGGCTGCAATCCTGTGCTGTGGAACTGTAGTCTTTTCCTTGTTCTAAGGCAGTTGGAGCCAGGGGTAGATGGCTCAGCTTCAAGTGTTGTGATTCCTCTTGTGCATGCATTAGTCTGCTTTTCTGAAGGGTTTGTGTAAGTTGTCGACTGGACATAAGTCTGTCTCAGAAAACTAACTCTAGACTCTTAAAGTGGGGAAATATATTGAAAGAATCAAAACTTCGCTCTTTCTTTACGTAAAGTGGCTTGTTTATGAGTGTAACTGTTATATAAAAAGCTCCTACATTTAGTGTTGGTGTTGCTTTTCTGGTTTGTCAGCAGTCACTAAGCTTGAATAAAAGTCTGTTTGCCTGAAGGCAATCACTGGTAGAGTCATGCAGTTATTTCTAGCAGGGGGAAGAACTTTGGAGTTGCAATAACTATAATGACCAGAGAATTTACATAACCATTTAATTTCCTTCCTACTTATGCTTTTCATGCTTGGCTGCTGAAGCAAAACCTAAGTTGTACTGTCAGTTCTACCTGCTGGTCAGGGCAAAATTGAAAACTTTTATGAGGCTACTTTTACAATTTTCTCCTTCCTACAATTCTATGAACTACTCTTTTCTCTCTTTCCTTCAAGCTTTAGTATAGTTATAATGAAATCAACATAAAAAACTGCATTTATATTTAGAGAAATTTGCTGTAATGATGCAGTGACATAGCAGACAGCTAGCCCAAATCAACCTCTGGCTATCCAAGTTAAATTTCATCAGGGTGCAGCATCCCACTCTGGCTTGCTATGTATTTCTGGCTAAGATGTCAACTTTTGAGAAAAAAAAATTGGAAAACATGAACTGTTAAAGGTACATTTCTTTGAATTAAGGATTACACAGTTGATCAAAACAGCTCTTGCACAAAGCAAATTTCTCAGCAGGCGCTGCCGCTTTAAATAAAAATTGTCTGGGGTGACTCACTGAGAAACACCACACAATACCTGCAGGGCATCTGCATGTTAATGGAGTATGTGGTTTGGTTTTGTTTGGAAACTTCCTTAGCTTTGATTTCTAAATCTTGCAGTTACACTTAGCAAGCAGTATTTTCCAGATTGCTGATAAGTCCTCCCTGGTCTGCTTAGGGAAGCCTTTTACTCGAAACTTAGGAGAAAATAACTTACAATTTTTGCCCAGACTTTTTTTCCTCCTGCACTTTGTTTAATAGCAAGCTGGGTAACAGAAAAAGCCCAAGCTGTGATGAAAGAGGTCAATTCCTTCCTGGTGGCATTCACTCCCCTCCCAGTTATCCTGTGGAAAAGCACATACTGCCATTTGGGCTCTGAGTAATAGAATAGTGAGCACAAGGTAAAGAGTGATACCTCCAGGTGAGCACCACCCTACCAGGTTGGTTTCAGAAATTTCCCTTTCTGACTAGTTAGAACTTGCAAGTGGCAACAGGTGATGGAAATTTGGGAGTTACAGCAATAGCCTCGTACATGATGAGCCTGGGTATGAACATGAGAGGTGCATCTGCAGTTCCTCCACAAATGGTCCAGTTAGTTGTAGCTTCTCTGTGGTAACCCTGTAAGTGACTCAGGGTTTATTTACCTAATAATTTATTTACCTGCCATGAATGGCATGCACACACACAATACACACTTGATTTTTCCTGTTGCCTTACATAGTGAGAAAAATGTATTGATGCAGTAGTACTTTATACTGCATCTGTCCTGCAGTCCTTGTGCAGATCTAAGTGGGGAATGCTTATGACAATGCAACTTCCTTGTTTTTTCTAAGATTTACTGTATTATATAAAAACACAACCACAAAATCCCAGTTACCATAGCATGCTATAGTGAAAAGAGTAGCAGGAAACTAGTTTGTTTAAGGAAAACAAGAGTTGTTAAGGTTGCTCTATGTTTTGGTTATTTTATGTAACATAAATACAAATACCTAAATACTGATGTTCCCCTTTACCATTTAGAGAATTGGAGCTCAGCTCACATGTTGCTTCCTTATTCTTGGGTACAAAGGCTGCAAACACAGCTAGATATGTTAGGAAAGACAATTGCAAGTGCTTTTCTACTGTGGTGTTAAACAAGCACTGAAGGTTTTCCTGTGTTTTCAGTTTAACTCCCATCCCTTTTTCCAAGTGACAACCCCATTGTTTCTCCTTAACCAAAATGCCAGAGCGTTTGGGAGTTAGCCAGCATCCTAGGGTTTAGTAAAGCTAGTCACAACATGACCTTGCAAACGTAGTAACTGTATTTCCTACTGAAACAGCTGAAGATCTGTGTATCAGACTGTACTCAGTTTTGATTATTGGGTTTTAGCACTTTAATGAAAGTAATATGACCCTTATTTTGTAATTTTTCTTGCCATTTTTCCATGTGCAGCCACAGCTGTTCTAACTTCTTTCAGAAGTTGTTTTTAATTAGATTATTTTAGTTAAAGTTTACTTCCCAATTCTTTTCCTGTGATACATATTCTTAACTTTAAAAATAAATGTAAAAAAAATATTCTAATCACATCAAACAATACTTTGCTAAGAATGCAGTCTACAAAACTGTCCAAAAATAATATTCTATGGAACTTTGAACAATTATTATTTATACTCTTTCTTGTTTTAAAAGTTTGTGTTTGTAACGTTACGCTTTAAAGTTAGATCTGTTATCTCTGAGAACTACAATGTAGCCAAAATACTTAAAGTCAAGCTCTGCACCACAATGACAGCGGATTTGTAAATAAAACCTCATTATGAGAGAACATTGTCCTTTTCTAATGATTAAAAACTGTCAAAAGTTATATCCCCTTAGACACACGTGCAAGTAACTTAAAAGTTCATATTTATTCATATCTTTGCTAAAAATTTTCCTTGAAATTCAGAGGTTTTTAAAGTACAAGTTGTTCAAAGGTTGCCTGTCTTCAAACAAAGATTGGTTAGACCATCAGTATAAAGAAAATAACAGTTATCTGTGCAAAAGAGTCCTGCATTGGTTTTGAAGGCTAAATTAAATTGTATCTTAGCAGTTTTAAATCCTGTTAAATTTACAACTTGATGATGAAAAGTTAGTATTGAACGCATTATTACACGTATTTGGTTGATCAAGAACTATCTTAAAACCTAAATTCAATTACTGAAATCCCTGTTTCGTAGCACTCAGGATTTTCAAAGCACTCTACAGAGCAGCCTTAGTATTCTCCCCTGGCACATTGCACTGCCAGCAGCAGAAAACCAAGAACAGAAAGGTTAAGGTTGGTATGCTCGAGTGGGCATTAGAAGTTGGTAGGAGAGCCAGAAATAGAATTCAGATCTGGCTCTTTGCTACAGATTTACCCAGGAGACCAGTCCTCCCTCACTTGGCTGAAAAAGTTCTGTGCTGTTCTCAGACGTAGGGATTCCACTTTTTGAAAATATATTTTCCCCCTTGAAATGTACAGCACATTATCCACAAAGGGAACTCTGCTTTACACTTCAGTTTGCCTTCAAAACGTTTTTGATGAATGCCCTTATTGTGAAGGTCCCAAATGATGACCTACAAGTCATTTCTGCTATACTGTGTATCCCACCATTGTAGATGGCTTTTTCCCAGACAGATGTTTTCCAAAACACTCAAGAAACTTTCAGTGTGGTGACAGGAACACTACTGACATGTGCATAGATTTCAACAGCCATCTGCCATTTTCCCTATTTGCAAATATAATGCAACTTACATAGAATTATTCACAAATCCCATCAAAGCAAACTTCAAATGCTCTGTTGATGTAGCTTTGTAGTTATCACATTGAAATGTTCATTCACATCAAAACTGGAATTATCAGAGAGGCTGTTCCAATGAATTCTTGCCTTTCTGGTTTAAAAGGTAGGACAGTTTATCGGCTTCAAAATAGCATGAAGGGCAGTGTGTTTGCTTCAGAGAAAAGTTTCAGACAGACCAAGTAGATTCAGTTGTCCTTTCTCTGGCATATATTTTATTGCTGAAGGTTCAAACTCAAAGCAACAGCCTCACTGGTGGCCGGTTTATTCTGAGATGTTGCACTGGTCTCTGAACTTCAGCAAGTGCCAGTGCTACGTGCACTCTTAAACACTTGAAACACATTTATTCCAGTTCCTCTTAGATCCTTCCTGAAGGTCATATAGCAAAGAAAAATTTTTGAGTTGATTTCATTTTTTTTGTTTGTATGTTTATAAGATAGAACTGGGTACCCCATTTCTAGCTATTGCAAATACACGTATTGCCTCTCCAGCCTTAGTATTACGTATTCAGTGAGTTGTTAGTATTTTTTTCCAGGAAGAGCAAATACCTCTGGTGTTGTAAACTGTGTTAGTCCATGTTGTGTATTTGATTTAGACAACAGCTTTTGAAGGGATTTGCAATATTAACTATAACTACTGCCATGCATGTTTTGGTTACAGAACGGAGATGGCACCATCGACTTCAGAGAATATGTAATTGGTTTGTCTATTCTTTGTAACCCAGCCAACACAGAAGAGACTATTCAGATGGCATTTAAGGTAAGTTCAATTTAGTGTAAATCTGCAAACCTGACAAATCAAGACTGACTGTAAGTCTGTTACCTTTCAAATCATAAGCTTCAATCTGTTATGCAAATGTGAGTAATACTCTTAAACCAATTGACATTTAGAGTGTAAAGGAGAGGGGAAGAATTGCAGGCATCATGGAAAACGGTTTCAAAAGCCATGTGAAGGCACTAATGAATATGTAACTTGACAGGCTAACTCCAAAAATGATTCAGCAGCACTTGTAGTTTTTTTGCCTGAGGTTTTTTCTGCTATGATTCTTCAATGTCACAATAGATGGAGTAACATCCTCTTGTGGGTCAAGCCTCACTAGAGTTATTGTTCTTAACAAAGGGGAGGGGAAAAAAATCAAGGAAAAAAAAACATTCAGGACTGGCACATCTGAAACTGAGCTGCATCTAAGAACTGGTGGCTTGTACTATGGTGTCCTGACAGCAGTCTTGGAGCAGTGATAAAGCAATAGCTCCTTTCACATCTCAGGTACAGGGAGGCAATACATGATCAGGGATGCCCACGCTGTGCATCCTTGACTTTTTTTTTTTTTTTACTAGCTCTTTGACACAGGTTTAATTATTTTACCCATTAACCTGATCTTATGAACTATATTGAGCAACATATTGAGATATCAGTCATGCTCATCTTAAACTGGGTACTTTTTAGCATTGATGTGTAGTTGGGAAGTACTAAAATTTTTATGGCAATCCATTATATCCACTGGCTTCTTTTTAGATAAACACTACAACTGTTAAAAGTGATTCGTGCTTTTTTGGGGATGTTTTATCAGTACAGATTCCTATGAAGAAGCAAGCCTAGCAGCTATTATTGCTGTTTCATTGTTTTGTTTTCCAGACTATACTCTCCAGTATCTTAACAGGCGCGCTGATTATAAAATTAGTAATTTGTTTTAATATCCAGTTTCAGCAGGAAACAACTGGTTCAGCTGGTAAAAGCCTGTTTTAGTCTGAAATGGAACTGTGGGTTTCCTTTTGCTACTTTTTTTTTTCTCTGCCATTAAATGTTCTTTCCTTCGCAATGGGGAAGTTTGCCTGTAGCAAGGACTTGAGAATTACAGCCATCCATCCCTTGTATTTCTCGAGGATAGATTCATAGCAGATGCTTACTGCCACTGTGCTGGGAAGGATGGCAGGATCAGTGTGCATCCACTGCCTGCATTCCAGGAACCAAAATTCTTTGTTAGTTACAATAATTCCTTAGTGGGTGACCACTCACATACACTAAAATTTAGGTATTTCATGTCAGAGCATAAACTATGGCAAGTTTAATCTGATAAGGGATGTCCCATAACCTAATGAAAATGACGACTAAAACCCAAGATATTCCAGTATAGAAAGGCTGAATCCAGTGGAGCCTTAGCATAGCTCATGATGACCATAAACATAAATCTTTGCTTATTTTTTATTAATTTTGTATTAGTTTTATCACTGAACTAATGCTGTGAGGTTTGTTTGTTTTTGTAGAATGTTTGAATCCCAGCTATAGCATGTATATTGCTCTGCTGAGTGTCTGCTTAATCTTGTTCCAGAAAAAATACATAAAGTCTTTTGGAAGAGAAAGTAGCTGAGATGCAGCAGGTCTCCTCAAATCCCAATAACTGTTTACAGATAACCTCTTGAATGCTAGAAAGCCAGTGTGGGAGGCTAATGTGCACAGAGGGTCCACAGGCAAACTGATGCTAAAGTATTTGTACACATCGTGTCTTTTGCAGCTCTTTGACATGGATGAAGATGGCACTATAACAGAAATGGAGTTTGCATCTATCATTCAGTCAGCACTGGGAGTGCCTGAGCTTGATGTTTCTATGCTCTTTAAAGAAATAGATGCAGATGAAACCGGGAAGTTGTCCTATGGTAAGTTAAGCCCTTTTACAACATAGAATACTTTGACAGTCATATTGACAGTGAGTTTGCTTTTCTTCTTCCCTGAAATTCTCTGATGGTTCTCGTACTTTGTTCCTGGGGAGAACTGCTGAAGCACAGACCTAGATACTTTGTGTGATACTCATGAGATTCTTCAGAGGAAACTGACTGGAGATCAGCTTCAGTAAAACAAGCAGGCACCGAAATTTTCTCTGATTCTGCACTGTAAGATCTGTGTTTTTCAATATTTTTCAGATGAGTTCAAGAACTTTGCATTCAAGCATCCCGAATATGCCTCGTTGTTTACTACATACCTAGATCTACAGAGACACCAGGTAGATCTGTCGGATGAACAGGACACTGAGTCACTCAAAGGCAAACACAGCCCAGTCAAGAGCACAACCCTGGTCTCAGAAATAACACCAATTGCAAGAAATAAAGTCTGTCCTGAAGGCAGTGAAGAGGATAGCTCAAGTACCTCTGACAAAAAGGAGGACTGAGAAGCACTTAAGAATTCAGCTTCTGAATTCTACAGGATTTTTTCCCTAGCTGTTCATAAGCACAATTGATGTAAAATAGAGATGGAAGTTACAACTTAAAAAAAAAGGTTTCTATTTTTTACTTTCATAGCAGGAGGAGTTATTCCTGTTTGCGTGTAGGGGAAAAACCACTGTTCTGTCCTTAATGTCAGTATCACAACACTGGCAATGTTGTTCGGTGTCTTCCAAGTTCATGCTTCCACAAAAGTAACAGGTGTGCTAAGGGTGTGAGAAGCTCCAGCACTGCAGTGGCCTCTCATAATGGAGACTGAGGAGTCCACTTGTCTAAAAACAAGTGGAATTTTTGGTGCTGCTCAAGTCCTCTACATCCCCAATATGACTTAAGAGAAAAAAATTATGCCAGAGTGTTTTAATTTGCAATATCCATTAGCCTTTCTCAAGTTTCTGAGACACACAGATGAGTTACAGGAAGCTGAGAGCTGAAGCTGGTGGGGTTTGGCTGACCTTAGATTTCCCTTAACTACTTGTGAACCAGCAAACCTAAACCTCTGAA